AAGAGAATGGTTGAATAAATTTGTGGCTAATCAACCCAGAGAAACGGTGGCAATGTTTGAAAGGTATAATAAAATAATAGTTTTATTTGCGAGTAATTCATTCACATGTTCTGATTACAATTACATTTTTATAAGGTTAACTAAATATTTTAATGGTAAGCATCACGTAGAAGAAATTCTTTTTCGAGAAACTATAAAGCCAAGAGATCTTGGCAAAATTTTAAGTTTATTTAATCGAGAGGAATTAATAATTGTTTGGTGTTAACGAAAAAAAATAATTTTATGTAAAATGAAACTATTATAAGAACTCATATGTACTGTACGTAACATTATAATTCATTTTTTAGAATGGGTTTTTTTTATGTAAAATTAAAAATGTAAATAAATCATATACAGTAATAAAAATGAGTTATTACACAGTTAGACGATCTCCATAATATGCGGATGTGTTTTAAATACAGAAATAGCGTAAATATTTATTTATTTTCAGGATCTAATGTTTCGGATTTGTCTAAATTTTTAATGACATTTGACGATGCATTGTTCTCATGAGACTTTTTTTGAGAACTGTCACTGTTTAACAACATTGCATCAATTTTAGCATTAAAGTTATCAAGCCTTCCATCAAGTTCATTAAGCGCATCTTCTGCTTTAGTTATATCATTAAGTAATTGATCAAAATTAAAGTCTTCTATGTTGCTCTCTGCCAAGAGTTCATCAGAGTGAGCATCAGTTGGAGTTGTGGAAATGGGCATTTTTTTTTTTTTTGAAAGAGCTTACAAAAAGGTTTACGTAAAAATTTTCACCCATCATATTATATAAGGGTATAACGATAAATGTGAATTGGACCAATTAAATCTAATCTTGAAACATGATATTTTGATCTAATCAAACCAAAAAAAAAGGTTTAAAACGTTTAATCTGCTTAACATTAATTCTGTAATTGATAATCTAATAAACATAACATCAACGTTTCTGAATTAACGGAATGCCCAAAAGCAAAACGAGCTCCAAATTTTTTTAATTTTAACTAAAACTTTATTGATTTAATTTTGGTTTAGTTTAAATATAACTCTCAACGATTGCACCTATCAGCCATATATTCAATTTTTTTCAATTTCAATTTCAAACTGCTGCCCAGATTGGTTTAGTGTATTAGGAAAAAACATTTGTATAACTTTATAATAATAAAATAAAGTTCGTTATTGTCACTGGCACATCTTATAATTTGAGTTCTTTTTTTAAAAAAAAAATTTTTTCTCAAAAGTTTGAAATAATACAAACTTAAATTTTGTATCAGCATATAAAAATAATTGCCGTAAGTGGCCGTACATAAGACCTGGGTATCTTACATTCCACCACTTTTAAAACTTTTAGTAGACCCTAGAGTATAGAACATGACTGAGAGTTTATCCTACAAAGTAAAGTTTTGAAATGCATACACACATTGCATTTATAAGCATGCAATCTAAGTTTTGAAACACTTGTAAAAAAATTCGACACGTCGAATAACACCATTCGACTGTCATCCGACATGACATTTGACCATCAATCAGTTAACATTCGACATATTTGGTCGAATCTTAATCGATCGATGGTTAGTCGAATGGATGCCATTCGAGTGTCGAATCTTATGATTTTAACTAGCTACTAGTGTTAAGATCCTGATCCGCTCCCGGATGTAGTACATGGGGTCTACTATTCTGCATATGATCATTTACGGTACCCCACTGAAAAACTTAAAAAAACCAATATTTTATAATAATAAAGTTTTTAATCTTAATATTGATTCTATATTCTAAAAAGATATACATATGTAAATTTACATGTATAAACAATAAAAAAATTAGTTTATTTATTATAAACTATATAACTTTTAATTATTTACCAAGTTCAAATTTTTATTTATATTAATTGCATTTTAGTGAATTATAAGTTTACAAAAGAAATTAAATAGTTTAAACTCAAAAATAATAAATATATACATATACAGTATATATACAGTAGATATAATTGTATATATATATGCTGTATTTATCATTATAACTTTTTTAAAATATATTATCTATACTGCTAAAATTTTAATGTCTGTTTATCTGTGCGTTTTAAATAATTTTATTGATGCCAATTTGCTAGTAGATACTAAGCACTTTAAAAGCTAGCGAAATAATCAACAGTTGGTGTTCTAAAACAAAAGATTTAGTGTATATCTTAAAAAAATTTTATTTTTAGCAAAATTTCATTTTTAGTAATTTTATACAAATAATAAGTATCAAAAAATTATACTGCATAATATTATTAAATATTATAGCATTTTAAATTAATATTTTTAAGTTTAATTGAAATAATTTAAAAAATACTTTGTTATTTAAGTTTAATTGAAATAATTAAAAAAAAATACTTTGTTAGTTTCTATATTAAACAAAATTTAAAAGATACCATATAGTAGATTTTATTTTAAAAAATTTATTAATAAAATCTACTTTGTGCTTATTATTTTTATGCGTATTAGACTTCTAATTTTAAAAAAATAAAGGAATAACAAGAATAAAGTAAATGCAATAAACCAATAGATTAGAGTCAATAAACCAATAGATTAGAGTTTTTAAGGTATAAAGAAAGGTTTGTATATATTGTTGAACTCGAATTCGAT